ACAACTAATCACACTAATGAATACAAGATAAATGGTCATAAAAGCTATGAGGAAAAGAAAGGGTTTGCAATTAGAGCTTATAATAGAGGTGGTGACTCAGTGTGGGGATCAGGGAAGGCTTTCCTGAGGAGGTGACATTTAATATCAGACCTAAAGCTGTGCAGGAGTAGGTATTTCAGGTAGAAGCAGCAGCACGTACAAAGTTCCTGAGGTCCAAGCATGCTTGATTTATTGTGGGAGCAGCCAGGGAACTAATGAGGCTGGAATGCTGGAGAGGGTGAGGAATGCAGTTGGAGATGAAGCACAGACCTGACCTCACTGGGGTTTGTACTGTAGCCTAAGGCTATAAGCAGAGGGGTGATCTTTTCTTTTCCCTTCATGAAGATTGTCTGACTGCTGGAGAGGGAAGAGAGGAAGAGAAAGGACACATCTTTGAGGAGGGGACCCAACTTTCACCCACAAGCAAGGGTGTGGGGTCAACATTTCAGAAGAGCAGAGCAAGGGCGGTGAAGGCAGCAAATTGCATCTCTCAGGCCAGCCTTTGTCTCCAACAATTAACGTGAAGACACTGAGGGGGATTCCAGTCAGCACAAGAAGCGGCCTCCTACAGCCCAGCGATCTCCCTGTCAACAGCCATTCTCTGTTCTCCAGGCCCTTGAATCACTTCCCTGGGCTCTGGCCCTGCCTTGGGACACCAAAGGTTGCGGCACAGAGGGGAACGTTAGCCAGGAATGACAAACATCTAGGAATGCAGGCATGGGGGCACTTCAGAAAGTGGTGGCTAAGTAACAGAGGGGAAGGGTGAATAGGGTCTCTGGAGACTGGGGGTCCTTGTTGACACCAGTGGGCAAGGGGTTGGGCTGTGGTGTGGAGGGTCAGCACCCCAAAATCCTGGTTGTTTACCTTTTGGCATTTATCCTTATTTTTTGTCACCAGATGTTAAAGATGGCTTCTATTTTTGGTCTTTTGAGAGAGAAAAAATGCAAGGGTTTTTTGGAGGAGGTGAAGGAATCTGGGGTCAGGCAAGGGAAGCATGCACCTTGACTACCAAATTTCAGGTAAGTAACCAAGAGAAATCACATCTAATGCAATATTTTGAAAAATCAAAATTAATGCAAAAATTTCATGGTAAACAACATATCAATGTTAAATAAAGACAGGGTACAACTCTGTGCTTTCTTAGCCCTGCCTCACCCATGTTGCCCTGATAGCTGTCCACTAAGATCAACTTCTTAGGTTGTTTTAAATTTACAAAACAACGAATACAAACTAAAGTGAAGGAGCAGGAGTAAGATTTATTTAAAGCCCAGAATGCACTGACATCCATCAACCAGACTACAAGCCTGTTTGTTCTCTGATGACTGCAGGGATCCACACTGATGCTTCCCAGATATGACCCAGAGCCAGGTTCACTGTCAGTTCTTTCACATTCACAGTCTGATTCTAACCTATTTTCCTGGACAACCGGTATATTTCAAGATGCCTCCAGATCCCTGATCAGCTAAACAGCCCTGGGAGATGGGGAAGGCTTTCCTGAGGAGGTGCCATCTAAGGTCAGACCTAAGGATGTATAGGAGTAAGGAAAGGGAGTTCCAGGCAGAAGAGAAGCAAGTCCAAAACGCCTCAGGTCAGAGTGCACTTGGTTTATTGCAGGAACAGCCAGGAAGCTAGTGGGGCTGAAGAGCTGTGGCTGGCTGGGGGATCAAGTTGCAAATGAAGTGCTGACTGGACCACACTAGGTTTGTACTATAGCCTAAGGCTCTAGGCAGAGGGGCCATCCTTCAGATTGCTGGCTACTTAAACATCTTCATACTGGCCCTGAGGGCTCTCAGGGCCCTGCAGTTGGTTAGAGCATCATCCCAACACCAAGGTTGTAGGTTCCGTCCCCCGTCAGGGCACGTATGAGAGCCCACCAATGGCCCTGGCCAGTGAGGCTGCATTGGTCACGCCACACACCAAAAGGTTGGGGATTCAATTTCTGGTCAGGACACAACATAGGCTGTGGTTTCAATTTCTGTTTGGGTTGCATATGGGAGGCAGCCAATCAATGTTTCTCACACTGATGTCTCTCTCTGTCTCTCTAAAATCAATAAACATATTTTTAAAAAAGAATCAACCAATGAATGCATAAATAAGTGGAAAAAACAAATCAATGTTTCTCTCCCTTCCTCTCTCAATTTTAAAAATTTTAAAAATCAATAAAGTTAAATTAAAAAAAATATCCCTCATACATGACATCTCCAAGAGTAGAGTCTTCCCTGTGAAAAGTCTGTACTTTTCACAATCTATAGGGGAGGCAAAAAATATCCCCAGATCTCTCTCATTAACAACGTTAGATCTTCTCAAGATAGCCCAGGAACCTGGCTTTAAAAGGAGTCACAATTTTCTTTAGGTCAAAAAACTTCATGTTTAAACATGACACTCTTTTCTGTGTTAGTGCATCTGCAGCTGGAGACTCTATGGCCAGTTTTGTTGAAATTACAACGTGTCTCCCCAGTTCTCTCACACTGGTTGTTTCTTTCTAACCACCTGAGAATGGCATATTTTTAGTTCTGGGCTCATTTAACTGCTGCCGCCTAATATTGGTCTCTTCTTCCCTATCCAAGTCTTTGTCCCTTCTTGGAACAGACAAGCCTCCTCTGGGTATGCTTCTGAGCCCCAGTTCTGACTTAAAGAATTCTAGTTTTTTCACTTCAAGGGTAAGACCTTTAGCTAACAGACTTCATCTCTTTATATGCCAGTTTTCTCATCTTCAGAAATGGAACTAATAATTTGATCTTCCTTGTGAAATAAAAGAACTGATGTGTGTTAAACATTTAAGACCAAAACTATCATTAGTCATCAGTAAATGCAAATCAGAGCCACAATAAGGACCTACAAGAATAGCTATAGTCAAAAAGTGAGATAAGTGAGTGTTGGTGAGAATGGGAAACGTGGGACACCTGTGCAGGGCCGGTGGGGATGTAAAGCGGTGCAGCCGCTGTGGAGACCAAGTCGGCAGTTCCTCAGATGGTTAAACATAGAGCTACCTGGGACTCATTAATCCCACTGGGGGGGTAGGAATGTGCCCCAAAATGGAAACATATGTCCATGCAAAAGACTAAAATAAGAATGTTTATAGTAGTAACACTCATGATAGCTAAAGGTGGAAATAGTCCTAATATCTACCAACAGGTGAATAAATAAACAAAAATATAGTAACTCTAAACAACGGAATATTACTCAGCCATAACAAGAAATGAGAGAACAGATACGGGCTACGACATGGATAAACCTCGAAAACATTATGTTAAGTAAAGGAAGCCAGACACAAAGGGGTTAAATATATTATTCCATTTACACAAAATGTCCAGAAAATGCAAATCTATAGAGAGTAGATTAGCAGTTGCTTAGGGCCAAAGGAAAGAGGGAAAGAGGGATAATAGCTAAAGGTTATAGGGCTTCTTTTGCAGGTAATGAAAATATTCTAAGTTGACTGTGGTCATGATTACATACCTTTTTAAGTGGGTAGATTATGTGGTATGTGAATTATAGTTTAATAACACTATTTTTAAAAGACCATACTTAGCCAATGATAAATGCTTAAAAAAATGGAAGCTGTTTTCAGCATAACTATTAACAGGGAAGGAAGGAGGGAGGGAGAGAAAGAGGGAAGAAGGAGGGAAGAGAGTTACTTCTGTCTCCAATGCAAATATCCAGCTTTATTTTGAGCTACAGCTTCTGTAGAGCCGTGTTCCCAATGTGTTGTCCCCAGACCACTGCCAGCAGCAACTGTGCTAGAGCATCAGATCCTAGAGCCCCTCCCAGACCTACTGAATCGGACACTCTGGGTGAGATCCAGCAGCCTGTGACTTAACCAGCCCCTCTGGTGACTCTGATGTGCCCTCAGGTTAGAGACTTGCTGCCAAAGAGGATCTACTTGGCCAACTTCATACTGCACCCCTGCTCCTCACTGACCCCATGACACCAGGAAAGTCCCAAAGCTCACTGTGTCCATCTGCTCATTTTCAAATGGGGTGTGACCTCAGGGGCTGCCTGGCCTGCCTGAGCACCTCCCCTAAGGCAGGGCCCAGCCTGCAGGTGCATCTGCCCAACGTACATGACTCCCAACACATGAAAGAAAAATGACACTTTATTGAGGGTTTCAAGGGAGTCGGGGAAGGAGATGTGTATCAGACACTCTATGGGCAAGCTTATAAACTGCTCATTCATGTCTCTGCTTTTTTCTTAAATGTCTTCACCAGCCACTGGGTCTGGGTCCGTTGCCAGGAACCAGGTTTTCCTTCCTGTCCCTTCCCTGTCCCTTAACTCAGCTACCACTTTCTCACTCTTCGCCCACACCCTCAGCTCATCTCTCTACACATTTCTTTTCTCCCAAGCAGACATTCAGGTCCCCCCTTTCTCTTTGTAATTTGCACCCGGAGACCTGTTATTCAGCTTAGTCAACAGAGGCCCCTCATAGGAGGAAACACCCTTCCTGTAAAAATATGAAGAAGTAAAATGAAAAATAATTTCACCATAAAAAATGCTTTCCTTTTCTCAAGACAACAGTCAGGGTGAGAGGGAATGATGTGTCTGAAGCACAGAACACGATGCCTGGTACACGGGAGGCGCCAAATCACCATCACTGTTTATGTCCTAGTCATTTTGGGCAGAGCAAGCACCCCTCCCTCACTCATTCAAAATAAGCCATGAACACAAGTCCCCCAACACCACAATGTGGGCATCGCCTCCTCCAGGCCACTCTTGGGCACAGGAAACAGGAACATTGTCACACAAGGTCAATATCGGGGAGGCCACGACCCAGTGAATCCAGGAGGAATGAGATCAGACAGACTGCAGGAAAGGAGAGAGCTTACAGAGTGCTTGCTAAGGGTGGAGGCAGGGGAGTTTGCATACAGGAGTCAGCAATCACCAGTGGAGCATAATTCTACACATTTTACAGATGGAAGACTGAGGGGTCTTCACCCACCACATCGCCTGCCATAAAACCAGCCACTTCAGGAGCTCTGCAGAAAGGACTTGCTGAGGAAGGTCTTCTTCATGGTGTTCTTCAGCTCCTTGTTCCTGAGGCTGAAGATAATGGGGCTGAGGAAGGGTGTGAGGACTGTGTAGGTGACGCCCATGAGGGTGTCTCCTTCCAGAGACTGGGGACCCTTGGACTTGAGGTAGATCACAGAGGCGAAGCCATAGTGCACGACCACCACGGTGAGGTGGGATGTGCATGTGGAGAAGGCCCTGTGCCGGCCCTCAGAGGAGGGGATCCTCAAGACAGCAGCCACAATGGAGGCATAGGAGAGGAGGATGAGGAGACAGCAGCCCAGCAGGGCTGTGATGCACACCAGGCCCACGCCCTTGGCCACATTTGGTACATTATTTCCACAGGCCAACTTCACAAGAGGTGGTACATGGCAAAAAAAATGGTGGATCTCATTGGGTCCACAGAAGGTGAGGTGAAAAATGGCCGTGGTCACCACCAGCCCCATAACCAAGCCACCTGCCCAAGACCAGGACACCAGGCAGGCACAGCCACGGGGACTCATGAGCACGTTGTAGCGCAGGGGGTGGCAGATGGCCACATAGCGGTCATAGCCCATGACTGTGAGCAGGAAGGAGTGGGTGAAGCCAAACGTGAAGGAGAAGAACATCTGGCTGGCACAGGCTGAGAAGGCAATGGAGTGGTGGGTGGAGAGCAGGTCGGCCAGCATGCGAGGGATGATGGCGAAGGTGTAGAGGATCTCAGAGACAGAGAGGGCGCACAGGAAGAGGTACATGGGCGTGTGGAGGCTGCGCTCACCCCAGATGGTGGTCATGATGAGCAGGTTCCCCAGTAGTGTGAACAGGTACATCAGCAGGATCAGCAGGAAGAACATCAGCTGAAGGTGGGAGAAGGCGGAGAAGCCGATGAGGATGAATTCAGACACGAAGGTGTGATTTAGCCCCAGCATGGCGGTCACACCTGGCATGGGAGAGAGGGAAGACCTCAGCAAGTAGAAACTTGAGGTCTCTAGTGAGCTCGTCCTGGGACGACTTCCCGGAGGAGCCCCTTCACCTCTCCAAGTCGTGGTCAGTTTATCTGCAAACGACATTCATAATAATGGGCTGTGCTTCACGGAGCCCCTTGAGGTTTAAATACGATCATGCATTTAAAATGCTTACCACAAGTCCTGGCGCATAGTAAGAATTCAATAAATAAATAAATAATAATTGTTATTATTACTACTATTTTTAAATTACAGTGGTAGGAACTTGGGGTCTCTATTCAGCCACACCTGGGTGGAGTTGTTAATGAGCAAGGGCTTGCTGCACGGGGTGCACAGCAGCCAGGAGCTCGGGCTCAGGACGAGAGAAAGCTTTTGCATGTACATTCAGTGACAGCAAGGCTCCGATCTGTTTCCCGGATCCAGGGTCGGGGCGTGGTGGTTGGTGGGGGGGGGGGGGGCAGGGGCAGGATTTAAGGGCTTTCAGCACCAGATCTTCCTGGACAGCGGACCCTTCGCCTCTGCAAGAGTCCCCCTGGACAGGTTTAAGTCAGGGTCTAGTAGTTTGTTGGGGGCGAGGGGGGGGGGCGGGACGGGACAGGGAGCAGCTGAGGGCTCACAAACTTTACGCTGAGTGGCGTATCCAAAGTTTAAACTTTGGTCCCGGGGTCTTATTAGAAACAGGATATGGCCCATTTGAGCTGGTTCTGCAGTTACAGAGTCCACAGCTTAGATTTTTTCATTGCTTTTAGCCATTTTTCTAAATAGGAATGAAAATTTTAAAAGAAAGCAACAATTTAGTCTTTTTAAAAATTATGGTGGGATCTTTTATTTTTTATTAATTATTTTTAAAATGTTTTTTTCAGTTACATTTAATATTATTTTGTATTAGTTTCAGGTGTACACCACAGTGGTTAGACAGTCATATACTTTACAAAGTGTCCCCGTGATATTTCCAGTACCCACCTGGCACCACCCATAGTTATTACAATATTATTGACCACATTTTCTATGCCGTACTTCACATGCCCGGGCCTATTCTGCAGCGACCAACTGCACTCCCCAGTTTCCTCATCTGTCTCACCCAGTCCCCCACGCCCCTCCACTCTGGCAACTGTTAGTCTGCTCTGTGTGTCAATGAGTCCATTTCTGTTTTGTTTGTTTGTTTATATTGTTCTTTAGATTCCACATGTGGTGAAATCATATGGCACTTGTCTTTCCCTGACTGATTTATTTCACTTAGCATAATACCCTCTAGGTCCACCCATCTTTATATGGTCAAGTAACATCATGTACCAGAGCTTTCTCATCCACTCGCCTACTGATGGGCACTGGGGCTGCTTTCAAATCTTGGCTATTGTAAACAACAGTGCAGTGAACACAGAGGTGCATATATTCTTTCAAATTAGTGTTCTGGGTTTTTAAGATATGCACCCAGAAGTGGAATCACTGGGTCATAAAGTAGTAGTTCCATTTTTAATTTCTGAGGAACCTCCTTGCCGTTTCCCATATGTGGCTGCACCATATGGTGGGATCTTTAATAATATTTTTTGAATTGGAAAAACCTGGTGCTGGTTGGAGTTTGCCTTTGATGGAAGAATATAGATCCTGTGATCACTGTGCCAAAATATGCTTGAACTCTGAGCCGCCTGCAAGGCTTCCGCAGTAAGTGGTAGCTATTCTCTCCTCACGCAAAAGTCTACATGTTATCCACATAAGTTAAAAAATTTTGAGCCCCAGTCAGTGTGGCTCAGTTAGCTGGGCACTGTCCCGCAAACCAAAAGGTCCCCAGTTGGATTCCCTGTCAGGGCACATGCATGGGCTGTGGGTCCTGTCCCCAGTCAGGCACTTATTACAGGAGACAGCCAATCGATGTTTCTCTCTCACATCGATGTTTCCCTCTCTTTCTCCCCCCCTTCCCCTTTGTCTAAAGTCAAAAATAAAAAACAAAAAACACCTCCTTTAAAAATTTTGTGTTTTTTTTTTAAGATTTTATTTATTTATCTTTAGAGAGGAAGGGAAGGAGAGAGGGAGAGAAACATAGTAGTGCTTTTGCACCGCCGCGAGGGTTTTGTTTAAAACGCTGCTTCAGCAACAACATTGGGTTGGTTCCTGATCTTTTTGAACCTTGGTTTTCTCATCCCTTAAAGGAACTTGGTGGACTAGGTTGTTATGAGGATTAAATAAGATAAACACGTAAGGTGCCTTTCACAGCACCTGCAATAAACGATGGAAATTAAGATTGAGGATGGGCATGAATGACCAGAACTGGATCCTCTTAAAATGTACCAATCTATGATTGTATCTCTCTTTTAACTGGTGCATTTAATACATGTATCTTCTTGGTAATTACTGTTGTTTTGGACTTTAATTCCATCATTTTATTTAACACTTGAGCTAAATGTAAATATATATTAATAAAAATAGCTAATATATACATATACATGTATATTTAACATATACAAACACAAAACTATGCACATATGTGTTTGTTAAACCAAATACCAACACTAAACAAAAATAAAACAAATAGAAAAAAAACCAGTAAGAACACGGGACTTTCATCAAAAAGGACCTGTGTGCAGCCATAAAGGAAGAGTAGTAAATTTCCAAGTGCCACTATTGCAAAGCCCTGTGTTACCTGACCGCACTGCACTGAGACGGGGAATAAGTAAGAGAAGAGACCTGGAAGTTCCTGTGTGTTTGGAACACAATATTGGGCTGACCCCTTTGACAATGGCATAGCAACATGTTACTCACTAGACTCTGAGCTAAACAGAAAATTAAGAAATACCAAGAACAGAGTGATAATGAAAAGTTGAAGCAACTAAATGAAATGGATTTTGCCCTGGAATGGAAAAAGGATATTGGTGGGAAAACCGGACGGAATCTAGGAAGAGCTGCAGCTTGCTGTGCAATGTGGTGCCGGTGCTAACTTCTGGTTCTGATCTGTGGGCTGGCTTCCTGTCAGATGCTGACCTTTCAGGACACTGAGTGAGGGGAGCACAAGAATGTTCGTTATTGGTTTTGCAATATTTGTTAAGTTTAAAAGTAGTTTAAAAAGAAGTTTTAAAAAACAAGGTACCATCCAAAGTAGCACAAAACCTATCAAGTATCTACAATTAATTTAAATAAGTATACACAACACCACCACAGAGAACAATGAAACCTCTAATTAATAGAAAATATAGCAGATGATATAAATAAGTGGATGAAATGGAAAGACAGTATTTCTACATTCGATGTAATATTCTCAAAAATCCATGGTAAACATATTCTAAAATGTCTATGAAAAGCTAATGAGCCATGAATAACTAAGTCAACCTTGAAATGAAGAGTGTGGGGAGGTGGTGGAAACTGTCTCCTGAGAATCAGAGAACTCCTCGGAAGCTTGGAAACAAAGCGGTGTAGGGTTATTGCAAGGACAGGCAGACCAGTGGGTGCTTCAGACACGGAGCCATTCAGACATGGTTAAGGCCATGTCACAGACAAATCAGAAAATGACGAATTGTCCAGAGATGCTGTGGAGGAGAGTGTCTCTTTCTATATATAAAAACAAAATTGGGCTTTTAATTAGAGAGGCTCAAGACGGATTAATAACCTAATTGAAAGATGAAAATATAGCTAATAAAAGAAAGCGTAGTGGGATCTTTGTGATCTAAGAACAGGGAATGAGTTCTTTAAGAAGAAAAAGTCACAAACTATAAACAAATTAATTTCGTTACATCAAAATTACAAATCTCGCCTGGCCAAGTGGCTCTCTTGGTCCCGTGCACTGAAGGCCGTGGGCTTGGGCGCGCAGGAGGCGACTGATGGGTGTTTCTTACATAGATGTCTGCCTCCCTCTGTCTTCCTTCCTCTCTCTCTAAATTCAATAAATATGTCCTCGAGTAAGAGTTAAAAATAAAAATTAAAGTATTAGAAATCATATTAACAAAGAGCACTGTGGGCAATGTGAACAGACGACAGAGAACAAGAACATATTTGCAAAGTTGAATGAGTCCTAGAGATCTGCTGCACACCATAGGCCCGTAGTTAGTGATGTGCTAATGCACACTTAAAAACTTAACAATACAGACGACGATGTTGCGTTGTAATCATCAGGCTTGCTAAGAGGCTGGATTTTAATTATTCCCACCACATAAAATAAATGCTAGTTATGTGACCTGACAAAGGTGCTACCACTACACTAATAATCATATTACAATATACAAATTATTAAATTAAGATGTACACTTTAAATTTACATGGTTATATGTCAAATATATTTCAATTAAAAAACTTTTTAAGGAGGTAGATCTTATATTAAGTGTCATTACCACACAAAAAGTAGAGGGACACAAAAAACCTTTGGAGCCAAGGACATGCTCATTACCTCGATCGTGGCGATGGCATCACAGACATAGGTGTATGTCCAGACCTGTGAAGATGTACACCTTAAATATGTGCAGGTTTTTGTTTACTACGTGCACCTCAGTAACACTGGAAAAACACCACGAGGAGACCGATGTGTAGACTCTACAAGGGATGTCTGTAGACAGAGGGGAAAAGCACTGGAACTGGAAGAGGAAGTGGGCAGAGGGCAGGCTCAGGCGATGGGCAGAAGAGGAAGTGCAGCCGGTGAGTGGGCAGTGAAGGCAGGCAGCTGCTTGTGAGCAGTCAGAGGTATGCAGTTTAAAGCAGCAACGTGGCACCACCTGTCAGAATTACACCTGTCAGAGCAGCAAAAAGTAGAAGGCTGGGTGTTGCAACGGGTTGGCCCAGATGTGAAGATGAGAGAGCTTCAGTCCTCTTGGCAGGTGCCTGGTGGCCAAATGAAGGGAACTCGTGCCCTCCGTCCTGCAAACACCTGAATGAAACGTTCACACAGGTCAGGGAGGGGACACAGTCAAGAACATTCATTTCAGCACTGTCTGTGTTGGCAGAGAGTTGGGGACAATCTGAGAGACACCCCACTATCTGTGGGAGTAGAGAAATAAAATGTG